AAATCTATATTTCATACATATAACTTCTCAAAAAAAAAGCAAAAAAATTGAAATATCAAAAAAATTAACTATATCTTACAAAAAACGAAAAAGAAAGATCTAGAAATGTTTGTATACTTTACTGTTCTCTTTAAAAGAAATATTACTGTTGTCGATGGTGATTACAGTATTGTTTAAACAAAATAATAAGTGATTGTATTTGTGATTGATGCATTGGTGAAAGAAATGGAGATTGTTCTAATAAAAGCTTCATATCATTAATCCATTTTGGAAACGTACGAGCTAATCGTTCACAATGACGAAAAAGAAAAAGATAGAACCAATGTTCTGAAATAATTGATGTTGATGGAAAATTTTTTTGAATACATCGTAAATATTCTTTTTCAGCAAGACAACGACATGCTGAAAACGAATTATCTGATGAAGAGATCATTTCACGAATAATTGTTTCTTCTTCATATGATGTTAATGGATGAAAACAAACAGATGTTGTATGTTTTAAAGATGATTGTGTTTCATTATTTTCTGTAGACATATCTGATAAACAAATTATATCATCCTAAAATAAAAATACAACCTGTTTTATTTTATTGAACAGGAATATTTTCTTTTTTTGTGCTATGTACCAGTTCGTCTGGATTCGTACTAAATAATTGTAAAATTTCTTCAGTATCATTTTCTTGTTCTTTAATTAGTATTGGTTCATCTTCTTTCATGTCGATTTCTTTCGTAGATACTTCATTAATTGATTCTGATTGATTAATTTCGTCCCAATACCACCATTCATTTTTAAGTACAGTAATACGTTTTTGTAATGAAAATTTTGATAATTTAACAGTTTGCTTAATAGCAATATTTAAATTTGATTTATCTTTTATTGTTAATCTTTGTTCTTCTTGTGATTTAGATTTCATCTAAATAAAAAGAAAATTTTTGTTTTCTTTGAATGTATTTTTTTTACTTTACGACGCCATTTGCTACGTTGTTTAGAGAATTTATCTGCTCCAATAAATGGTAAAATACGCGTCGTTTGAATCCAACTTTGTTCAGCAGTTTCACCAAAAAAGAAAACATGTACATAAGAAGATTTCCCTAAAATTAATTTATTTCGAGAAAAAAAAAATTAGAATAAAACCATTGGGTTATGTTTCTAGAATTTTCACCTTTATGACGAATCCAATCTTGATTTTCTTCAGTAAATATAACAGCAGGCCAAAATGGTGCTGATGCCAATTTCGCCCATACAAGTTGTCCGAAATGAAGTGAAGTAGACGATGCTAAATTGACAATAAAATCGATCTCGATTAGTAGGCATTAAGATTACAGTAATTTTACAATCTTTTATCTCGATATTGAAGGAAAAACAATGAAGACTTCGAGATAAAAGTTCATTGTTTTTCTTCTTGCTCGATATGCATCCATTCTAAAAGTTCTTAGTCGAATCATATTTTATTCAATTGAATAATTTTATGTCACTGTATGATGACTATTTAGCCTGAATTCTGCAGAAGAAGAAAAAAATCATTGTTGAGGTTATTATTTCTTGTTATTTTGACCTCGTATTCATTAGCATTTAAACAAAAAACAGTTTTTTTTTCATCACTTCGTATCATTACTGTATCAAAACATTAATTGTCAATAGTCTATAGAGAAGATCGATAAAGTAGCAATCTTTTCTTTTTTGTTACATGATCTTTATCTCATAATCCAACACTACTAAAATTTTCTGACGAATGATATGCATGATCGAGAAAAGTAGACTCATGAATTTGATCGAAATTTGTTACTTCTTACTGTCTGATGGATCTCTTGTTAATTCATCCTTTGAAATCATTCTTTTCATCTAAAATATAGAATATTAGATGTTATGAGTCATATATTTTAATTCAGATAAGATAGAAAGTAGCCAAAAAAAAAAGAATATGAAACAGATAGTGTCAAAGAAAAAAAAATGAAATACGAGTAAATCGTATCAAGAAAGAGACCGTATATACAATATCAGTAAATAAAAGAAGAAAAAACAAATTAATCATTCTTGATTATCAAATAGAACATTGAGTGAATCAACAATCTAGAACATAAACAATCGTAAATATTATTAAATATATTGTATTATTCAATATGATAAGAACAAGATATTTTCGATCTTCTTTTTTCTCTATGATGTTGACTATTTAACTCAAATTCAAATAATGATTTGGATAACCAATAAAGTTCTCTATCAGATGCACTATATATTAAGGTTTCATTGTTGAACTATGTCAAAGAGTATTTTTTTAAAAATCAAATACAGTAGTTTTCAAGTCCGAAAATTTTGAATACAACGGGCTCTAACCTTGCTATCGACATCATAGAAAAACAAATTCAAAACACTTTATTCTCATCATTTTGAGTAGTACTGTATATTTGATGATATTTGTAACTAACCTCTTTTTTTGTCATTGAATTAATATCAACATCTCGATCAAATCTTTCTAATGCATTCGTCCATGATGATGAATTCATTTTAACATTTATATTCAATTCATTTGAAATAACAAGAATACCATTGTCATTGATTATCTTTAATAAACAAAAAACAAATTCATTAAGAAATAAAATTTATCAATTGAACTTACTGAAAAATCATCGGTAACATAACTAAGAATTGTTCCTAATCGTCGATGAAGCATTGTATCATCAATTTGACGTACTTTTGCTAAAGAATAAAATGAGATAAAATATATAAAATTTTTATTGAATAACAAACCAATTTCATGAAGTGGTTGTTCAGATAATCGTTTTCTTTTCGGTCGACGACATTGATTTTCAATTTGAGCTAAAATCTAAAAAAAAATAATAATTAAAAAGAAGAGACCATCAAAACTATTCGAATTATTTACTTCTTCATCAACTGTATCAAGTTTTTCATCATTAATTAATTCTTCTTGTGATGTTGATGCTTCAAGTAGAAAACTTGTTTGTATACATTCATCAATACGTGGTAAAGATATTTTATTTATTGTTGGATGTATTGATGGCATTGATTTAGATTTAACAAGAAATAATTCTTGTTTAAGACGTGCATTTTCTTCACGTAATTCATCAATTTCATGGCGTAAATGTGGAGTTTTTATTCGAGGTACATTTGTAATTGTTGAAGCAAGACCAGCATAACGTAATGTATTGATAGTTTCATCAATAACCGTAGATGATGGACTAATTGTTGCTAACATAAATGTTTTTGCATCACCACCAAGACTATTTTTTAATAGATAAGTTAAGTTTGAATCACGATAAGGAATATGATTTTGTTGACGAGATAATGCATCAATTACATTACGAAGTGTAGATAATGATTGATTAATATGAATACTTTCCTAAAACGAAAAAAAACTTTTTTTATGATATCATTCAGTGAGATGCTGTGTCTTCCTATAGATCCTTTACAAAATTGACTTTCGAATTCAAACATTGCGCAAATAAAGTTCTTAATGATATCTTTAGTCTCAATAAGGCATACCTAATGAGTTGAAAATGATTTCAAAAGCAACTTATCATTTGACGAGACTCTCGGTAAGAATAGTCTCATGATGGTGTGAACTACTGTACGGTAGTCAGTCATGATTCTTTTTTAACTTGACACATAACTCGAAATCGCTATTTTGTATCGCGATGATCTAAAGATCGGAGAGTCGTACGATCTCCGTCCAAACGTTATTACAAAGCTCGATGTTCCTATATGATCAGTTTCCAAAACTTCAATACGAAGCTCCGATCGTTTTCAATTCACTCCATAAAATGACAATTTTGAAGTGAGAACTCTGTTACTCTTTCGAAATAATGAAAACAAAAAACAAGACTGACGGTCATGAAATAATACAAATGAGTGTTCATTAGATCGAATGTTGCTGCTGTATTTCGAAGTTTTCATCATATTGAAGATCTTCTTGACATCTATATTCTACTTCACTCAAGGATAAACAAGCAGAACAAATTGGATATCTTTAAAAAATCGCTGAAAACTTAATTAAGAACTCTTGTACACTGAAGTACTCTAAACTTCATGAATTTTTAATACAATATCTGTTGATTTTCAATTCGTACAAAACTCAGTTTGTTTCCTAATAGCTGATTTATGATATATATAATTAAACATGTATTAAACCCATCATTCTACTTTGTACAATATCGAAACATGTAGTGTCGCTAAATTTGACTTTTCAACCAATTCGAAAGTTTTATAATCTCATAAACAATGAGTCCAGTATATAGATGAGTTTCACACCACGGGCTTAGCCTCTGTGACTTTTCAACTCGTTTTCTATCTTCAGCAATAACGAGTAAAAAATATAATTAATCAACAATAATAAAAGAATCCTTGCTAATATTTATACATGGTAACATTTCCATTAGAAACTACAATTTCATCTCTATACGGCTAAACAGCATCAACAACATTTATGTTTTGTTTTATTCATACCGCAAATCGATCATTTTTTCCTTGAGTTCCATTAAATTGTTGTGATTTTTCACTTCCAGCTAAATCAACAAAATTTAATCGTACAGCTTGTGCATCTAATTCATCTTGTGCTTGTTGTTTTGCACTTTTTTTTGATGAACTAGATAATGTTGCATGTTTACCAATATTTGATAAAGAATGAGCTGTATTTAATCCAAATGATAAACGCATATTTGTTGATTGTGGTAAATCAATACGACTTATTTTAACAGTAAATATAGCATGTGATCTTGATGATCGTTGATTAGCATTTGTTGATGCAACTGAACGTTGTTGATTACCCAAATTTAAAACATTTTGAAAATCTTCTTTACTTTTAACTTGAATATATTTTAAATCAGGAACATATGGACCAAGTAATGGATGTTCACGAATTTCAAGTGTACGTGTTGAATTATTTGTTGTATTTGAACTTGGTACAAGTTTATTTAAAATATGTGTACGTGCATGTTTAGAAAATGATAATGTTGTTGAAGATTTAGTTGATGATTTTTGATTTAAATGTTCATTTGATGTTGTTGGTATTGCAAGTAAATCTGTTACTTTTTCATTATAAATTTCAAGAAAACTTAATTCAAATTTTAAATGATTATTTCCATTCATTGTTATTAAATCATGAATACTTAATGATAATATGCCTTCTTCACATGACGAACCAAATATTGAATGTGATTTGCCTTTGAAAAGAAAACCAAAAAAAAAAAAATCTTAAAGAATTATTTTTTTTAATTAAAGAAAACTACCTGATGCTGTTTGACCATAGGCTAAAACAGTTGTATTGTATCCTAAATTAGCGAAAAGAAATCATATTTCTTTATCGAATTAAAAAAAAAGAAAGAAAATCTCTTATGATATACCTTGTAAAGAAGCAAGAACAGCTGATCGAATCATTCCATCATAAACATTTTTCTAAATAATGAAAAAAAAAACAAATGTTTCTCAAAAACAGTGTTGTATCTATTATGGGGGACGTCTCTTCGAAGATCGGGTTGACCACTTCCGAACTTTTAAATCACCTCTCCGAAACAGAAAATTTGTATAAAATACTGTTCATAAAATAATTTCAAATTTTTGTTTTTTATTTACATTTTTCGCAGAAGCATCGAAACAATGTGTAAATTTAAATATTTGTGGTCGACTATTTTGTGTACAAATAACATTATTTTCAAAGATTTGTACAGCTGATGTCTCATCAATAGCAGATTCTCTGTATGAAAAATAAAAACAAATAAATTTTAAATAAAAAATAAAAATAAATAATAAAAACCGTTCGAGAAATGGACGTAATCGAATGCCAGTAACAATAGGATCACCTTTAGTTAGTTTTTTTCCTGGTGTACGTGGAGATGATGTAACAGTAGATGATAGGGACGTGAATTGATCATCTATGAATATTTATTAATAAAACAAAAACAAATGAAATTTTTATTTTAAAAACAAATAATTACGAGTTGTCAAAGTTGATGTTCGCAGTTGATTTAAACGATGAGCCATTATTATTAGAAACAAAATCTGTGCAAAACGATCTAAAATTTCAATTCATATAAAATCAATATCAGTTTTTGAATTTGAGAAAAAAAAGAAGTATTTTATTTTTTTTCTTCGAAATTCATGAACAATATACTTTGCCGCCGTACGACTATCATATGAGCGGAACAGTGAGAAACGAAAGAATGAATCGATAGAGCGTTATCATCAATGCATTTTCAATCAAATCAAATTTAGAAATATGAGATAGATGCCGCTTATTAGCAATTGTTCTTTGTTATTTTAATATAGTCGAAATCGAATGATTGATTCTTGTTTTCTTTTCTATCAACTTTAATAAAATTGAATATTGATAATTTTTTTTTACAAAACCTTTGCAACAGAAATATAATTCAAAAATTTGTAATTGGATATGTCAAATTTTGTATAAGACAAATATCTCACATTCGAAATTGAGTTATAATGTCTGTCTTTATTCTATTAATTTGATAATCAAACACTATATTTCAAACTTCACTTGTCGTTTGATAAAAAATGTTTCACAAAAAACTAAAAAATAATTTCTTTAAATTTTAATATATCAAGAAAGTGAGCAGTCGATTCTGAGGCATGTGGCGAGCAAGATGCAGCTTGTCAATCTGCATCGAATGATGTACGTTTCATAAATGGTTCAGATTGCGAAGTGAATCGTCAGGTAAAAACTTGTTTTAACGTTTCGTTTTTCTATAGTAGAAAATCAATGCTTTGGTTTTCATTAAACAAATCTGAATATACCATTCGATAGAGCTTCTCGACCTGTATCTGGCTCACTGCATACCTCGGTTGGCTCAACACATAGGACAGACAGTTTGTAAAATAATTCGAATCGACCGTTAATTTCTCTTACGTTAGTTTTACGTATTATTATCATTTGTAATCGCATGTATTTTTATTTAATATTCTTGCTAGGAATGTCGCGAGGTCATCAAGATTGGGGAAAGAATGACTACTGAAAAGGTAGGATTCACTCGCTGAAGGAATTGATGAGCAAAAAACATGAAGAAAAGCGTTAAGTTTCGCTGGAGAACAATGAAAAATTTCCAAGAAGGTGTGAATCATCCGCACATGGGACACCACTGATTGCTACTAAATTGAAATGCTCGTTAGTATTTGTAATCAAAGATTATTATGTGAAATAAATGCTAAAATTATTTTATTAAAATCATCAAATGGAGTCGCATTTCAAGAAAATGAATTATTCTGGTTCGCATTTGTATCTATATCTGTTCATTTTGATAGTTTTAGAGAGAATGTCAGTGCTTTTGAATGGAGTGGAGTCGTTTCTTACTAAATATCTGTTTATTAATATTTTCTTTGAATTTCTTTTCGACTAATTTTATTCCTCGAAAAATGATCAATATTTGTTGTTGTGATAATGAAATTTTTTTTTCATGCTTTCGAAAAGGTTTCCAAAAACGAGAGAGCAGAATGTCGTGTCGTTTATCGATATTTTCATTTCCTAATGCTGTATTCATTAATTTATAGACAAATTAGTGCTTAGAATATCAATAAATGATTTGTTCTGATCGATATTTACGTTCATTTTCATCGATCATTATCAATTCTTTTCAATTTCCACGATAATATTGTCGACAGTAATGAATCATTTCCTGTTTTTTTTTACTTGTTGATTATATAGTAGGCGTAAGATAAATATGACTGAAAAGCTGAAATCATAGAAATTCGACAGACTCATTTAACAAATCTTTTAAAGTTTTCTATTATATTGACCGGCAATGTATACAATGCATTAAGATCAAAATAAATATCGTTAATGTTTGAATATTCACGAGTTCAATGTTCGTATCTGTCTTCTCTCATATAGAAGATGAAAGTAGAAGTAGTTTGACGAAGACTAGTTGCAAGTTGTAAGATTTATATAACATAAGACCCAGTTCTGATTAAAAAAAATATTTTCTTCGTCCATCGATTTAATAAATGTAACACATCATTTTAGATCGGTTGTAAATATAACATAATCATTGATTAAGTACAGCTGTTTTTTTCTTGTAAGTCTATAGCTTTTCTCGAACCGAGTCAAAGAATAGTGATGCTCTCTTTCTTTTCATCATTTCTCTGTAAGTCAATTATTAAAATTAAAATTAGTAGTAGTTGTTACTGCAAATGAATCAAAAAAGAATCGCTCATAATATAAAAAGTAAATGTATGAGTAAAAAAAAAATCTTTTTCTTTATCTATAATTTTCTCAGTGAGAAATATATCCTGTTTTGCTTTCTCTAATGTATTGTTGAGTTTAATATTTCGTTTTCACGTATGATTCTTGTTTATAGTGATGTACATGTTTAAAAACAAATACAAAAACTAGAAAAATTCGACTAATCCTAATTTGTTCCAAATACTTGATGCTATCGATTATGAAATGATGTGATGCTCACACAACTATTATTTCATTTTTTTTGTTTCTTTAGAAAATTTTTGTTGATTTGTAGGCTGATTGGAATACTTGATAGCAAAGTGCAAATGTTTGACTACAGGAAGACTAATAACATACTTCAAAAATTGCTAAAATAAGGGCAATCCAATTGGGTTACATTTTATGACACATCTCAAAAATATATTTACCTGTAAAAATTGTTTTGTTTTGACCTTATACGAAATCTTTTCGATATTTAAAGAAAGAAATATCGAATTATTTCATCGTAAATGTTAGACTTATTGTTCCTGTCTTTGCGGTGTAAATTCAAAGAATTATTTCAAACATCAATTTTCTATGATAATTTATCATCTACAGAAAAACGTAAGAATATAATTATGATTTTTAGTCAAAATGGCCAAAGAATTAACGACAAAATGAAGTAAGTAATTTTTATCTACGTTGGACATGCGTTAACTGATTTGACGAATATTAAAATTTCATTCATGCAGCAATTTTTTTCACAGTTTAGTTCAAATTTTTTAAAATTATTGACTAAAACTAGATGACAAAGAGAAAATGAAGTCAACTAGAATCTACTAAATCTCAACACAAAGTATACATCTTTGCGTAGCGTAACTAGAAACCAAATATCAATATATCGCATTACTACTGTGAAGTATTGATAAAAAAATTCATAAAAAAAAGATCAATAATGTTTAATTTTTTCTAGGAAATTGTACGATAGATATTACAGATTTACTTTATAAATAAAAAATCATGTTCTACTTGTCAGTATATCGTTTTTTCATAATGACATATTTTATTTTCAAACTAAAATTTAATTTTAGGTTAACTTTTTTCTCAGTCATTAGAGAACGCAAAAATATCTTGTAATAATTTATTAACGGAAGTTGAACACGTAGGTTAAGACATACGAGCCGGTTCTGACTGAAACTAAAAAGATCCGAGTATTGGATTCAATCACTGTGTTCATGCTTCCAAATTTCTATCATTTTCTTTATCCTTCCAACCGAAAATCCATAGATCTGACCGCTGAAACCATTGACCTGGAGAAAGTTGTCTATTTATCTAGATTTCTTATGGCAAGCTCTTTCTATTTATGTTAAATTCATACAACTATAAATTTTCTAGAAAAATCATTTTGTTAATTTAAAAAATTGAACAATGTACATGATTAGACAAATAAATGAGAAATCATAGATGATCTCAATATTGTTTTAATATATAAATATACTATGAAAAGGTAGAAAGGTTCTACTTAAACTGATCTAGTTGACCAAAAAATATTCAAAAATAAAAGTAATATTTAATGTATAATTTTCCCAAGTATTGAGCTACCAGCATAGTAAGACAAAAAAAAACAAAAATCTTTAATAAATTAAAGCTGTAAAAGCTAGACATTACACGCAAACAAAAGATTTTATTCACATATATTTGATACAAAAATATTCGTGAGCAGTTAACTATAGTTTTCTCATAAGAAATGTTTAAAAAAATGCCATAAGATTCATCTCTCAAGCTCATCCAAGAGTCCCTGGAATCCGATAAGAAAAAAGTTATTTAGTGTATTATGATAGAGATTCAATAAAAGTTATTCGTCGTACGAATCAAACACTAGAAATTCTAATGTTCCAAATGATATTGTGCAATAAAATATTTTCGTACGTGTTATTTAACTGAACACAATGTATATGTACATTTTACTTTTCTCAAGTAAAAAGTTTATCAAAATGTACAGATTAATATTTGTTATATAATTTAGAAATGTAAAAACAAGTATTCATTTTGTTATCTGATCAAAGATATAAAACAAATAATTACATAAAATTAGATATACGACTAATATACATCTAGTCACTTCTTAATCTAACATGAGCAAGATAATATTCAAAAAAAAAAAACTATCAAACATTTTATTTTAGTAGAAATACACAACAACTAAAAGATTTTACTATTTGATTAAAAATCAACATCAACAGAAGTTAATTAGAATTGTCATTTCCATCTTCTACTTCATTATGCAAGTTTATATAATCATCACAAAAATATAATAAATTAATTCTATAAACACTTTAAGCAATTATCTTCTGATTGAATCTATTGAAATTCTTCATTTTAATTCGGATCATTTTCAGTAACTTTACTTTTACTTCATAATTCATTTAATTTTATTAGAGTTCTACTCATTTGAAATAAAGTCTAAAAGATAGCATCATCGATATAATGAAAAAGTTTCCATGTAATTCTAGAGTAGAATAGAAGAGCAGACAAGGAACATCAATGTAGTAGCAAAAATTCATCAAACGAGATCTCGCTATACGTTTTCTTTTTCATCCAAAATAGACATTTCGATAAGAAAAAAAAAAAGTTTTAATCTTATCGACAAAGTTCATTGCGTACATGTTGCTTTTGCAAACAAACATGTAAAACAGTATACAAATTGGACGTATCAAGAATGTTCTACATTTTGTTTCTGCTTGATAGACTGGTTATTCAGAACGATGCCGACAACATGATGTTGTCTATTCATAAAATGCTAAAGAAACAGTACGTCCAATCAAATTCATTCTTTATGTATTAATCTAGTGGCATCTACGGAATATTCTATTACGAATATTTTTTTTTGTTTAAAACCTTTTTAAAATTATTTCTTTTTAGTTAACAGAAAAGACTTTGATGAAATTTTGATAATTATTTTTAATTTTCTCTACCATTTGTAAACATCATGACTAGAACAAGAACAGAACAAATATCTGACCGATGGGAATATGAAAGGAAAAAAAAGAAAATAATAGCATGTGATTTTTTAACATTATCAAAAAAGTCAGCTGTCAGTCAAATGTTTTTTTGTCAAAAGTTCAAATAAACTAACAACTTTTACTTGTTCTTTTAAAATATCATTCATTTTCTTTTTCGTTCTAGATTAAAAAAACAAACTTAATCGTTCGCTCACATGTCAAGCACGTGAGCAACCTTAATATTGAAAAAGAAACGAAAAATAATGTAATTATACTCTTCAAAACAAAATCTTTCGACGTAACATGTACAAGTAAGAAAGAAAAGACGAAAACACAATAACAAGCGACACAAATATTTCATGTGGTGGTGGTATTTACGATTATCAATGTTTTTATTTTTTTCTAATGGCAACCATACACACATTTTTCAAACGAACGGTTGGTCAACGTTTGTCAAACATAAATAATTTAAGTACTAATACTGGTAATACAGATTCATCAAGTGACACATCATCATCAACAACTGAACGTTTAACTAATCAAACAAACGACGGTTATAGTAGTACATCAACATTAGGTCTTCTATCAGTTAATAGTGATGATTCTATGCGACGTCCTTTACTTCATGTACATACAAAAATTCGTCAAAAAAAATTTTTATCCCGTTTAATTAATAATACAACAACAATGAGTATTGAACAAGAACAGGCAATTGATGATAATATTTGTTTACTGGATAAAAGATTACCCAAAGAACTTATTTTAAGGTAAAAAAATAATAATTTAATTTTTAGATGAAAGAGATTTGTTTTTGATTTTTGTTTTACCTATTTTAGAATTTTTTCTTATCTTGATTATAAATCACTTTGTCGATGTGCACAAGTATCGAAAGTAAAAAGATAAATATTTTTATTTCTATTTACTAAGAATTCTTCATGTTGTAGTATTGGAATACACTTGCATTAGATGGCTCTAATTGGCAAAGTATTAATTTAAAAAGTTTTCAACGTGATGTTGATGTATGTTGATTATTTATCTGATTGATATAATCGTTTTATTTTGTTTTTCAAGGGTAATGTACTTGAAAATTTAAGTAAACAATGTGGATCATTTTTAAAACGATTAAATATTGAAAATTGTAAATTTATTACTGATCATAATATGCGGTAAACAAAAAACCATCTTTGCTTTTGTTTGTCTTTTTTCTATTTTAAAAACATTAAACTTTATATTTAGAAATCTTGCTAATAATTGTCCAAATTTAGAACGAATAACTATGAAGCATTGTACAAAATTGTCTAATACGTAAGTTAATAAAAATACAATTCATTTATTGTTTCATTTCATTTTAATTTTTTTTTAGAACTTTACATCATTTGAGTAAATATTGTTCCTATCTAATTTATATTAATATTGCATCATGTCATCATATTGATGATCAAGGCATTAAAATGCTCAGGTAAGAATTGTGAATTCTTATAGGAAAAAAAGAAATTTTCTTTTTTTAATTTAGTTCAAATTGTTCGAATTTGGAATGGTGCGACATATCATGGTGTATGAATATAACAGAGAATGGTATTCGAAATCTAGCAGAATCATGTCCAAAATTAACAGTATTTAAAGCTGAAGGATGTACACATGTAAAATAAGAATAAAAATAAAAATAAAAATTTAGATTTTCAAATAAAATTATTTATTTAAGATGACTAATAATGCAGCAAAAGAACTTGCAATAAATTGTCCAAAACTATTATTTCTTGATTTAAATCGTTGTTCTGTAAGTTAATAGATAAAAAAAAAACAGTATTTAATTAACATGAATTCTGTTTTAGACCTTAACTGATGAAGGCCTTTTGATTATTGCTGAACATTGTACATTACTGAATTCATTAATTATTGCCAATTGTAGAAATTTAACAGATACTACATTAATAGCACTTGGAACATATTGTCATCAATTAAAGTAATATTTAACTTTTTTCTAAGATAAATAGACATTCAACTTTATTGATATTTGTTATGTGTTCTTTAAGGAGACTTGATGCAACTTTATGTTCACAATTTACTGATGCAGGATTTTTAGCAATGGCTCAAGTAAAACATTTAAGAGAAATTTATAGAAGAAAATTTTCATTTTTGATTATTTTAGGGTTGCCATTTATTAGAACGACTTGATCTAGAAGATTGTACAGCTGTAAGAAAAAGTTTCGAATTAACTAAATCGATGATTTTACTTATTGGAATCCTTGTTATATTTTTCATTTTTGAAAAATATGTTTATTTCTACACGGAATCACAAAAAAAAAGAGATGTCAAAAAGAATTTTTGCTTTATATAACAATCAACGGTCTTTTTTTGTATTTCGGGAAGTTCCGGAAACTTTCTACTGCGCTGACAACACTCTATTATCTACTAATTGGAATGTGACATAGATTTAAAAAAAACTGACTTAGAAACACTAGATATTTCCTTTTTTCCATTTACGTCATACTCCTTTTAGTAGATAATTAGTGTTATTAAACCTAATCAAATGAACTTGACCCATAGGTAGTCAAAATATTCATTTTCTTATAATTATAATTTAATATGACATTGAATAATTTTAAGATTACTGATGAAACGTTAAGACATTTGGCTGATAATTGTCCTGAAATTCAAATTTTGGTAAAACAATTATTTATTTATTTATTTCTCTTAGAAAAAATAAAATTTTATATTTCTTTTATTTTGAAGACTCTTTCACGATGTGAACAAATTACAGATGAAGGTGTTCGTTATATTGGTTCAAGTACTTCTGCTCAAGAAAATCTTCGTATACTTGAACTTGATAATTGTCCAACAATAACAGATACAACTATTGATCATTTACTTGCTTGCCAAAATCTTCAACGTTTAGATATATTCGATTGTCAACAAGTATCAAAAAATGCTATAAAAAAGATACAAGTATATGCAATTTTTCTTTCGTTTAAACTTAAATTATCTATCATATTGTCGAATTTATTTGTTAGACACATTTTCCGGATTTAAATATTCATGCGTATTTTGCTCCACGAACTCCTACACAGACTAATCAACGTACAACATCATGTCCATTTTGTTGTTGTACATCATGTTCAACATGTACATTTTCATGTTGCATTATTGCTTAAATTTCTATCTTTTTTTTGTTTTAAAAATATGTACAAATATTTTTTTTCTCTTTATTTATTGTATCTATAAACGTTTTGTTTTTTCTTCTCATTGTAACAAATTTTTGGCGGATTGATTTGGCAATTGTATCCTATGTATATATTTATTTAGATGAACATATACGAATACATTCATTTAACAATCAGTCTGTTTTTCTTTTTGTTCTTTTATCATATTATTATTTTATTTCGCATTTTTTTTCTTCATCTTTTATTGTCAATTTAACGTGCGTGTTTTCGAAGGAATAACCTTCTTTTTCAATTTTTTTTCTCTCCTTGTTTTTTGCTTATTCTTTTAAAAGAAGCCAAAATAAATTGATGCTTAGCGACATATAATGACGTGCAAGTTAAGGAAGTTGTTTTTTGTTAAAATCTCAAAAAATATAGATGCTATTAATAGAAGAAAGAATTGAAAAATAAGTAACAAATATTGTTGATTTTTAATCACAAGTCGAATTGAAATCTATTCTTACGGGTTAGCTGTCAGTACTGACCGTAAAAACTAAAATATAATAAAAACAAAACAAAAAATAATAAATTATTCGAATTTATAACTGAAAACTTGTATGACTCAGTTCTTTCTTGACTTTTTACAATATGAAATCCATCGAAAGATAATGATTAGCAATGCAGATCAATAATAATAGTCAACTCTTGTATTCTTATTATGATTGGCTTTACATGACAAATATATTCATAAGACATTAAGGAAAACAACCTATTAATAATGTATGAAAACTTATCATCCTATATTTCTCCAGGCAAATTTTATAAATAATTAATAAGACAATTTTTAAAATACGTTGAAATATTTAAAAGTAATGTAGTAATAAATATCTGTAATAGATTTAAAAATAATGTAACTTGCCGAAGAATTGTAAACTTTCTTTTGAAATATACCTTTGTTGATGTCCTCAACTTCAGTTCATTTTGAATATGTTGTTGACAACAGAGAAGGAAGTCCTTTTTCTAACAAGGAAATTATATTGTGATAGATCAACAGAAATATCTCTGAAGTGCACTTATCATTTTAAAAGCATGTTGTTGTTTTTTTTTAAATACTCTTTTGCTAGTGATCTTTTACTCAAAATACATATGTTCAATGATATTATGGTTCTTTCTATCGAAAAGTAATTTATTTAGATAATCAGAATATCATATTTGTCACGACAAAATAATTTTGATACTTAAACATTAAAACGTATGCTTACAAGTTAAAAATGTGAAGTATTTCGAAAAGAACAACCTTGTTTTCCATGTTGCAAAATAAGCATTGTCATTGGAAATTTATACTTCTCTTTGTCGTAATTTAATACAGAATCCGCTTGCAATATTAACAAATATAAAGAGTAAAATATGGTTTGTCACTGAAATTTTTCGATAATACCTTCGATATAAGAAACTTTAATTCACGTTTCATGAGAGAAAATCTTCGAAGAGTTATTTCTTGGTCATTTTTTCTTATTTAAATAACATCTATCGGCAAATTCCATCACAATTTTCTTACTAAATACAATAACGATTCATCTGATCTGCGGATATTATCGAATTTTCGATCTCTTCATATACTTAGTTATTTTGGATATCCAGTATAAAATGTGAGAGGCAGTTTTTGTCATCGTGCTAAGACAATCAAAACATCGTAATAATATCGGTATTTTCAACATATAAGATTGTTGACATCTATTGTCGTGTTAGATATAATGGTAGCTTTCATACAAACGACAATATCAATTAAGAATCCCCCTAGTCTATACCAGTCTTTTTGACATAGGACACGTTATCTTCCTATTGGTATATGTCGACATGTGGCTACTATTTTCGTAATATGTCAAATGTCTGCTGAAAATAGTGAATACTTGAACTTTAATTGAAAGTATTGATAGTATTTTAGGGTTAGCTTATTTCAATAATGTTACCGTTCGATGATGCAGCAGCTGTCTTTTAATCATATGATAGCAAAATTCAATTCTAATAATGGAAGGTTATTGTTATTTGAACTTGTAATTAAAACATTCATGATTTTTTATCATTCGGAAAAAATAGTCATATACGTCATCATTACCTATATTCTTACAATATTTGTATTAGAGTTTGTTATCATATATTTGCCTGAACTTCCAGAGCCATCTTTCGATCTCTATAAATAGCCGTTTCTACTAAACCAATCTTGAGTAGTTTACGATATTCGTTCTTATTCTTAAATATTGCCTAATATTAAACGCAATTTTTCGTCGTTTATTTTTTTTTCATTTATTTGTTTTTGAGATCTTCCTGATTTTCAATAAATATTACCATTCCTACTCCGTCATCACTACCAAGTTAAAAAGTTGCGTTGTTCTTGCATAATAACATTACTTTAAATTTAACGTTTCTCTACACGTCATCATTGCTATTAATTGATTCGATTATCATGGAAAGTAACGAAGCATCTGTATGTCCACTTTGTCGTCATGATAAAATAAAAATCTATGCTGTTGGTGAATGTTCTCATCCTGTATGCCATTTATGTTCAACAAAAATGCGTGTTCTTTGTGAGCAAACGTATTGTGCGATTTGTCGACAAGAACTTCCCCGAGTATGTCTATCGTTAAATTAAAAAATCTAGATATATTTTCAATAAAGTCTTCAGTTTTTGTTTTGTTTTCGAATAGTAATTTAAGTCTGTCTATAGAAAAAATAGGTTTCAATAAAAAATAAAACTTCAGTGAAAAACCATAAATAAATAAATAAATAAATGTTTTGTTTTTATTTATCTGTTATTCACAGGTATATTTTGTTTCGGATCTTGCTTTAACTCAACCAACAATTGATCAATCTCGTTTTACACCTATTGATGAAACAGGTGATTGTGGAATTTATTATCCAATAAAAGCTGAATGGATTCGACGTGAAACAGAAAAATTATTAAGAAATTTTTGTCCATTTTGTTATTCTGAATATGAAACATTTGAAATACTACGTGATCATGTACGACGTACTCATCGTTATTTTTATTGTGATTTATGTGTTGAACATTTAAATTTATTTCCACATGAAAGAAAATGTTATACACGTCATGATCTTGTTCAACATATACGTTGTGGTGATCGTGATGATACATCATTTAAAGGTCATCCATTATGTCGATTTTGTGATGATCATTTTCTTGATGTTGATCAATTATATCAACATATGAGAAAAGAACATTATTATTGTCATTTATGTACAGATGATAATGTTTATTATAGGTTAGTTTTTAATTAATACAAAACAAAAATATTTTTGAATTGTCTTTTTCTTCTTCTTCTTAGTGACTTTGATTTACTTCGTGATCATTATCGTTCAAATCATTATTTATGTGAAATTGGTCAATGTAAAGACGTACAATTTACAAATGTATTTTCCTCTGAAATTGACTTTCGTGCACATCAAGCAGCACAACATAGTAAAAATCGAGCTGAGGCAAGACAATTAGGTACTATCCCAGTAGAATTTCAAAGGACAGGTATGCGTGATAGACAACAACAAAATGATCCAGCTCGTAGAGGTAATATCATGTTTACTTTTTCGAAATTATATTTCAAATAGTTATACATGCTTATTTACTTTCTATTTGTCAGGAACGTTCAAAAGTGGTGAATTTAAGACACAAGGAAATAATAATTCGTCCAGGAATGACCGGTAAATTTTCTGTTTTAACTGATTCTAAATAATCACCAGGAGAAAACAACAAACTTCAAAAGACTTTAAGAAAGGAAGCAAGGAAAAGTACGTGTACCTTTCGGCTACCTTGCGATATGGAGTGCTGCCTAGTGGTAGATTCATCAGTCCAATATCTTTCCTACCACTAATACTAGCTGTAGCTTTGGACAGAAGGTCAGCCTGACACAGAGTTCTTGTACTTAATTGCTTGTCCTCCCTTTCTCCCCCGTCCCCCTCCTTCATATACACTAACTAATCACAAGAGTAGGTGTATATCACAATGTAGTCAGCATGCTTTCAGATGTGTGATACGAGATAAACAGTTCTTAGTGACTTGCTCAGGATCATTCCATGCCTGATGAAATCAAGGTTTGAATATAGTACCTTATGCATATGTGTCTAATAACATTTCCCTTTCGGATAATCGCTATTTCGATTGTCGAGTTATTGTTAAAATATTAGTTGATTTTATATTTTGAATTACGTCATTATCTTTTAGTGATGATATTCAACAAGAACCAGCTGTTGCTGTTGCAGTACCTTCCATTGATGAATTTCCAACTTTAGGTGAACGTTCTTCAACTCCACAAAATGTTTCACAACAACGTGGTGCTTGGTTGAGTGATTCATTTAGACGAATAAATTCATCGGGTGATTTTCCTGCACTTGCTAGTGCAGCTAGTAATACGTCAAATACAAATATTAGTCAACCTCATGGAATTTGGCGAGAACAACAACAACAACAAATACTATCATCATCGTCTACAAATTTGAGTGTAACATCAAAGAAAACACCTCAACCACTAACCAATGGAACATCTTCAATAAATTTGAAAGAAGATTTCCCTGCATTAAAAGGAGCTAGAAATGCAAAAATACCTGCACCTGTATCGATGTTTTCAGCTTGGTCAACTGCTAAAAAATCAGCAAAAAATGCGAATGGTAAATAGAAAAAAAATTTTCTTCTTTACAAAAAACAAATTTCTTCTGATCTAATATCAATGTTTGTTTTCTTCTTCTAGCAAATGCAAAAGCAAATCAACCACAAATGCGTTTGAATACCAATCGTTTAATTAATGATGATGACGACGATGAATATATCAGACGACCAATGGCTTCTTTAACTATCAGTACAACACCTGTTGCTTCATCAAATATAAAAATGATATCATCTTCTAACTTATCCGGTACTCAGACTAATGAAAAACAGGATAAAAATAAAAAACAATCCCTTCCAAAAGCTCAAGACTTTCCAGCTCTACCATCAACAACGACAACACAGAATAATGGTATGATAATTTTTTTTATCACAGATCAGTTTTAATTATTTTTTATAGTTATATCTTCTAATGTTTGGGTAACTGATGGTACAAATCCATCGACGAAATCATCCACAAAACAACAGAAAAAGAAAAATGCGGCTTTGAGTAAAAAAAAATTTATGGAAGAAGTGCAAACAATGCCACCTCCACCGTCACTGTCTTCCGCCGATGATTTTCCAACTATTGGTTTAAGTCAACTTGGTCAACGTTTAATAACTGACGAAAATCAACCAACTGTAACAACACAAGTAAAAGAAGAGAAACTTCCATCACCACCACTACCATCATCATCAATAAAACAAGAAAAAAAAGATGAAAATAAATCAACCGTTCAATCCAATAAGAAAGTACGCATTATAGACAATTGAAACCTTGTTGAACTAACAAGGGAACATTTCCAAATGTCTACGCTCTTTTCAGTTGATATTTTACCCATAACTAGGCCTTAGCAATCTATAAAAAGTCTTGAAAAGATTTGTGCTCATACGGATTCTTTGCCGAATTTTGAATTGTTCGAATATTTTCCCTGCACATTAAAGTAATGACAAATGCTGTTTGATGACTATTAAAAGGTAAGAGGCTGTAAATCTTTTTGAAAATGAACTTAATGATAATTAGATTATACTAGACTTTCCAACGTTCTTTTCGTCAGAATCATTTCCATTAGAAAATATACTGTTCGTCTTCATGATTTTCATATTAAGTCGAGTATATACTGTTCAACAGTACGATTAATGCTTGTATTCCGTGAGAAGATCATATTGAAATTTAATGAAATTTTGAGATTTATCATCTGCGAACTTTTTAAGGTTGCAGCGTTGGAAAGTCTAGTATAACGTAGTTATCATTAAGTTTATTCTCAAAAAGATATACATTCTACTACCTTTTAAGAGTGAACAAAAAGCATTTACCATTACTTTCGTGTGCGTGGAAAATACTGGAGCAATTCATAGCTCATCAAGACCTCCTTATGGACAAAATATTAACTCCAAAGAGTGCAAACGTCTAAGAATGTTTCTTCGTACGTTTCTCAACAAAATATAGTAAAATAAATAATAAGATTGTGCTTTTCTCAACTGTTCTGTATAATTGTAAACATGACTCTAAAATTTTTTTTTCTTTTAGGCACCCATAGTAACAAAAACAAATGATTCAATTAAACAAGAGGTATAAATAATCTTTCAATTTATCTTCAAAAACTAAATATATTTTTATTTGAGACTACATCGACTAAAGACAAAACTCCAGAAAAACCAACAATTAATCAAGTATTTACATTCAATTATATCTTTCACATATCTTATTCGTATTTTTTTTCTATAGGCATCATCACAACCTTTATTACAAGATGAATCTGTTTCTCAAGTAGTACCACCTCCAACATCTGTATGTCCATATATATCCATAAAGAAAAGTTGATGCTTATTGTTTTTTTATAGTCTATTCAATCTTCGCCTAATTCTACTACACCACTTGTTGTTCCTCCACCACCACCAGGTTTTACTATGCCACTTGCTGTTCCTCCACCACCAGGTTTTAATTCAATTCCATCATCTCAACCCGCTCCACCTTCATTTATTTTCACACCATCTTATTCAAAACAAAAAGATGAATTTCGTACTAAACTTTTTAATTTATTCGATGGTGATATGAATTTATTTATGGAATATGATAAATTTTGTGAAGCATTTTCTCAAAATAAAATAGCATCAAAAGATTTTCTATCATATACAACACAATTATTTAAAGATAAATTTGATGAATATTTATTTGAATTAATTGTTATTATGCCAAATATTGAACGACAAAATGAACTTTATTCAAATTGGAAAAAAGATAATCCATCAACATCATTATCATCATCAGTAACACAAAATAAAAACAATTGGACACAGAAAAATTTTGACGAAAAAAATATTCATACATGTCATATTTGTCAACAAATTATGTTTGAATCTGATGCTGATGAACATAATTCTTATCATACAGAATTCAATACACAATTTCCTTCATTACCTACAGCTGCTGTTCCGATCGGTCGAGGAAAAGGAAAGAAAAAGAAATGATTAAATCAGATTTTATTATCTTGTTAAACGAAATTTTTTACGTTACACAACAAAGACATTATAATAACACGCTTTTTTTCTGTTGTTTATTGTTATGCCATTGATAGGCTAATTTCAGTATATTAAATAAAGGGAAAAAAACTACATTTTTATTCGTATGATTAATCCAGATATTAAGTTGGTGATGATAAATAATTGTAATAGAGATTCTCTATAAAAAAATAAAAATAAATAATCATTACTAACACTGATATTCTACTGTGAAAAAAAAATTTCAATTTTTTTCTTGTTCGAATAGGATTGCATTGAACAATTTCTAATGAAAGTTTTTGGATAAAATTTTTTCATAATTTATTCGATATTTCTGTTGTCTAGATGAAAGTTAATGTTCAATGATAATATGATGTGATATTTGTGATATCGAAGATGATTGTTTAGCAATTATGTATTTGAGATGAATAATATACCTACTTATCAAAACAATTATCAACAGTTGAATGAAATAGATGTAAAATTTTTTTAACTATACTTTTCAACAATTGAATTTGAAAATTAGTTTATTATCTTTTAAAACTTGTTTGCCCGATGACACTACGAAAACTAACATTACTCATTAAAAAAATCTATTAGTTAAGAGTAAATCGAAAATCATCAGCTATCATTACTTTTCAAAAACTCTGATTTTTTTTTTATTGTTATTGTTTTATAAAATGATAAAATAATCAGTGGCACAAGTCTTTGTCGAATGATGACTAAATAAATAAAAACCATAATACAGGGTGTATTATAAATAGTACTACGATAAAATAAAATGAAACATCTCCATGTTTATTCAATCTAATGGATTAATTTTTTTAGTTAGTGGTAGACATTTATGTAGCGCCTTTTTTCATATGAATGAGATAAACAGCAAATACTGCTATGTATTATTGTTGATATTACGAAAGCGATCTTATCTGTTATATCAAAATAAGGAAAATAGAAGTGTAATGTTTCCTAGATAGCTTTCAGCTCTCAAAGAGAAAAAATCAGAAAAAATCAAAATGAACTTTATAAATGATACTATATTGTTGCATAAAAGGTTTTTCATAGCTTCTGGGCCTCAATGAAAATTAGTTTATACGGAAACAAAGAATGATCCCTACCTAACTATATCTATATAAATTGCGAGCCCATGAAGTCAAAAAATCAAAGAAAATTATGACCTTCGTGTATTTTATATGAAAAATAAAAAAAAAAGCATTTTTAATGGTGAAACGGACAAAAAGAATTAATGTTTTTCAAATTCATTGATGAAACGTGACATTTTAATTAAGAAAATGCAGTGAATTTCATTTTTAATCAAAATCATAGAATGAATTTAATGAAAATGTCTATTTTAATCGATAAATTTGAAATACATCAATTTTTTTTGTCCGCTTCATCATTTTAATGCTATTTTTTATTTTTTAATTCTTTGGGAACACTTAAGACGATGTTTTAAATGGCATACTATCTGATGACATTATCTGTTTTAATAACAGTGATATAAACAGAGATAACATGGTAATTAGAGTACGGATACAGAGGATAATCATATCCACAGACTAGATACTACGTATTGCTTTATGGATTTATGTTAGGTAAAGCACGATAAATTCACAGTTCATTAAAACTTCTTAAAAATATACTAGTTGATTTCGAAATTGTAAGTATCACGTTGCTTCTGTTTACATTCCTATTATTAAAAGCGATAATATTATTGAATAGTATGGCATTTAAAATGTCATCCTAAGCATTCGATGCTCTTATAGTTATAATTGGGTAAGAATTACTCTTTGTTTATATATAAACTAATTTTCATTGAGGCATAGAACTTATGACGCATTTTCCAGGACTAGTTAGTTAAAAGTCAACGGTATCATAATTTTGATTTTTCAAAATTAAACTAATCAGTTTTGAAAACTTGCTCTGTATGTATCAATATAGTTTGTTTTGATTTCTTCTTACTATTTTCTTCGATGACAACTGAAAACAATCTATAAATAGTCTCAAATATATTTTTCTATAGTTGACAATAGATTAAATATCTTTAGTAAGGTCAAAAACAATACTTGATGGTAATATTTGTTTATCTTATTTATATCAAGAAAAACACTTAAAATAAGTTTCTGCTACTAACCAAAAATCAGCGCATTCGAGCGAATCGAAGCGGAGTTATTGCAATTTTTTATCATAGTGCTATTTATGGCCTACGCTGTATTAATTTTAAGAAAACAAAATTGTTTTTCAATCTGACTACATGATAGTCATGTTAGTGTAGCTAATCAAATCTATCGAACGATCATTTCCGCTAGATGTGATAGTGTTGGTAGATATATAAGCATCGAATAGCAATGTACTGTTTACAAACAATTGGTTTAAGATAGTTATCAACTTCTTTTTTTTTTTCATATACTATGTTGTAATAGAACATAATTAATTCCAGATTGTGCTAGTTGATATTCTCAAATTACAAGATTTAATCGATGTATACGTAGTTTATGATGATATTTATCTTTCTAAATAAAACAACTAAAATAATAAATTTCTAAAAGATCAGTTTTAACGTAACAAGTATTCTAAATTGCATAATAATTAGGACAAATGATCATCAATATGTACGATTAGATGAAACAAAATCGGTTTAAATATATTTATATGTAAACTTGCTATTGTAAAAACAAAAAAAGTCCTTAAGAAACAATAAAATACTAGTCTATTTTTTTCAACTTTGTTATCATGCGTATCGTATGACAATTAAATCAAATATTGAATCACAATGTGTAAGGAATAAAAAAGTTATTTTTTGCGTGCAATGTAGAGTATAAGTTTAGTAGAACTTCATTAGTTTTAAAATAAAATATTTATATATAATTAGATATCATAATTTGTTTTACAAATGATAGAATTGATTTTATTACATTTTCATTAATACGAGATGATAGATATGTATACACTAGCTCTTGAAGGTTCCACCATTGTTCATACTCGATTATCCTCAAAATTAATATTTGTATTGGAACTCGAAACCGATTTAAACGAAGTAGAATCATTTAGTTTGATAGAAAAAATTGTCGTTATCTTTCTCTTTTTTTTTTCTCTTTCGTTTATTAAATATAGTGTGTAGTAAAATGTCTTTATAACAATTATTATCGAATTTGTCTTTCTTCGTTTTAAGTTGATTAAAAGCAATGAACTGCATTCATATACAATTTTAGTTTATTGTCTACTATACTCATCATGTGCTTGTTCTTCAAAGCATTAGTTTATTCTTTTTATAGTTATGTGTAATGGATGAACAATAAACTCGACTATTAAAATCAATGAAAAAAAAAATCTATTTCCAGAGCATGCTCGAACACAATGATGTTATGCACAAATTCACACAATTACATATTTAAGTATTGAAGAGCTTGTTAAATTATTTTCTTATTATGCGATATAAATGCAAGTAGATATAAGAATTCGTCTTACATTTCATTTAAAAAACGCAGATGTTGACAAGTTGTCAAAGAATATTGACAAATTCGAGTTAGATGTAATTTGAAACTGCTTATGAAAATCGAAGCATCGTAGTAAATAAGAACAAACTTGATGAGAAATATTAAGAAAAGAATAGATGCTCATCAGTGTCATCATCATCATTATCATCATTCAAATAAGTATCAAATATTGTTGGCAGCTGTTACTCTAATATCGAATTGGTACTGTTTATGTATGAGAAAAAAAGATGAGAGAAATAAAACAACAGTCTAGGCTTCTAATTGATCATCATTATCTATACTTTGTCTGTATTTACAATAGACTATGTTTGTCATTCGTATTAAAACCAACATATTGTATTCATTTATCTAAGATATTGACGAATGTTCTGTGAAGCATGCGTACAAAGTTAGTTAATTAAGTAGCAAGACTCTTGGCTTTGAGCATTCGACTATCATCAATGCGCTAGGGAAATCTCATTCCGCACGATGGATTTTTATCCCCATCTCATACTTAAATACGTGAGATTCAACATGCGTAATGATGATAATAATGTATATCTTCTATATGTTCCTCCTTTCATCGCTTTCCATTTCGTAGCACTAAAAACATGATCATATATTCTTCTATTTTCTCTAGCTCACATTGTCAAGTGTATATGCTGAGTCCTTTTCATTATCAACACGACAAAAAACACATTCATCAATATATATGAAAAAAAAACGAAGCATACATCTATATAAAAATATATATATATATATATATACCTACAGGTGAGATGTGCCAAATATAAAATGACACATGAATCTTTTATTATCATTGATAAAAAAATAGCATAGGCACGCGAATAATTGAAAAGATGAATAGAAGTCATAACAAAAAACAATAAGTTTAAAAAGAAGGATGTTATTACTAATTGTTTTTTAAGAGCTTCCGAATCACCAGGTAAGTGGTGCTTTTGAATAATAGATGAAAACACTTTTCTCATTAACAACAATCTTCAATAACTTATTATATAAGAAAAGAAAATGAGATTCTTGAATGTTAGTTTATTTCTTTTATTTTTATCTATTCATTTTGTCATCCAACTAATGTTTGCGCAAAAAAAGAAACCTTCTTTCTTGATTTGAGTCAACAATGTTGTGCTTCATTGAATAGAATAGTCAGTAAGGATAGTAGTAGTTATTGACCCTGATCGTTCTCTGTGTCGTTTATGAACACAACCGACTGAACGTTTTCACATGATTAGGCTAAATCAATTACATTTGAGTATATATGTGAATATGTGCAAAGATATTTTTTTTTTCTTACTCTATAGTCTAGAGAAGATGGCAACATAGAAGCAGAAGCCAGAACAAGCAAAAAAAAAATAAGGAAAAGAGAGAAATAGTAAAGAAGAGACAACAATATAGTTTGGAAAAAAAGGAAGAGAACTACTATTTTTTTTTCGATTGATATAATATATTCTCTTAATGCCTCTTGTTATTGTTGTTGTT